ATATTGAAATTTGTCTTGTAACTACATGTTGAGAAAAGACCAAGTCATGATAAAGACATTTGTGATTTCTTAAAAACATTGCAAACGTATATAGAATATTTTCATTAAGCTGTCCTGTGGGGAAGAGTGATACCATATGAAGATGTTGATTTGAACACACAATAAGAAATCAAACTCAAAAATGTGCATACATTTTGTACTATTTAAAGAAAAACTCTATAAGATTACTTCAATGCCAAAAAAAAAAAATGACAAAGTTCTGCTCAGAACAATGCTTTCCACTCAATCAATCAAGAAGTATCTGTTAATTGCCCACTATGTGCCAGGCATTAGATGATGTGCTGGGATTATAAAGCCAAAGAATGTAAAATAAAATGACTACTTTCAAGGAGCTCTAACAAAGAATACAGCAAAAGGTACACACATATCTATCTATCTCTCTATCTCTCTATCTGCATATATATGTATGCATACCCACCACACACACACACACAGATATATGTCTGTGTATCTATCATCTATGTCCGTATAGATATCTAGAAAAAAGTACTATCTATTTGGATATCACAGTGCTTCACACACAGTGGGCACTTAACAGATGCTTGCTGATTAACTGTGTGTAAAGAACTATTCTGAGCAGGATGTTGGTATTTGGGGCATTGAAGTGCTCTTATGGAGTTTTTCTTTAAAAAGGACAAAAGGTATACACATTTTTGAGAAATTTGATTTCTAATTGTGTTTCAATCAACATTCTCATGCTATATCTCTCCCTAACAGAACAACTTAATGAAAATGTTCTTGTACTTTTACAGTGTTTTTAAGAAAATACAAATGTCTTTAACATGACTTGTATTTAAAATGATTATTGAGATACAAATACATATGATGAGCTATTTCTCATAATTAAGCAATGCTCCTCATATAAGTTATGACAGAATCTTGACTGTAAAGTCTTGGCTCATAATAGAGAGAGTGCTTTATATGAAACTATCACCAACCAATTGTTTGGTGAGAGGAGGTATCATAATGATTCAGGGAATTCACAATATAAGTAGACTTGAAAGGACATCTTACCACATTTGATCTAACCATTTAAAAACTTGACTTTTGGTATGGATTTGAATTATTAAATTAGCAAACTGTACCTACTACATAGATGACTGATGTATCTGTAACAAAACAGAAGTTCATTGCCAATGAACATAATTGACTGAGAACAAATCACCTCAGGAGTAGGGTAGAGAATAAAAAGAGCCATCTTGCCTTTCAGGTAGACATAATGCAAGACATATGAGGGATATTTTAAACATCATAAACCGACCATCAAAATTCAAAATAGAGGCAGAGCCAAGATGGCAGAGTAAAGGCAGGAACTCTCCTAAGCTCTCCTCCAAACCCCTCCAAATATATTTAAAAATTACTCTAAACAAATTCTAGAGCAGCAAAACCCACAAAAAGACAGAGGGAAACAAATTTCCAGCCCAAGACAATGTGGAAGGTTGACAGGAAATATTTGTTGCACCAGCCTGAGAAAGGAGTGTGGTTCAGCACAGGCCATGCCAGCACAGCCCCAGCCCCAGTAAACCAGGAGCAAGCCTTGGGAGTGACAGAATCAGCAGTAGCAGTGGCAGTGGCAGTGGCTGCTTCTGGAGCTCTCAGCCTACAGATGGTAAAGGGATCAGAAGGAGATTATAGGGATCTCTTTGCTGGCACTGAGGCAGGATTCTGTTGCTTTGTCCATACTTGGATCTGGGTCACAGTCTTGGGTGGCAGTCCTATTGTGAGGAGGAACACTCACATAGCAGAGCTTGTGGTAGCAGTAGAGAGGGATGTTTCCTCACAGTTCCAGGGCAGTAAAGAGTGCATGTGGTCACTCACAGATGGAAGCACAGGTCAGGAGAGGAGTAAACACCTCTCCTTAGATAATATCACATTGGAAGAACTGAAAACTTACAAGTCCCTAGAAGTATCTCTGAAAACAGCTGCATAAAACCCTGAAGCTTGCAACAGTTTGTCCTCCACACTGGAATTGGAGCCCTATCTTAACAAAGAGTTAAAAAGTCAAGTAATAGGGTGGGGAAATGAGCAAATAATGGGAAAAAAATTGACTATAGAAACTTACTTTGCTGACAAGGAAGATCAAAACATACATTCAGAAGAAGACAACAAAATCAAAGCTCCTATATGCAAAGCCTCCAAGAAAAATATGAATTCATCTCAGGACATTTTGAAAATCAAGTAAGAGAAGTAGAGGAAAAATTGGGAAGAGAAACGAAAGCAGTGCAAGAAAAACATGAAAAATGAGTCAACAGCTTGGCAAAGGAGACTCAAAAATACTAAAGAAAATAATACCTTAAAAATAGACTTAGCAAAAGATGTCCAAAAAGCCAATGAGGAGAAGAACGCCTTAAAAAGTAGAATTGGCCAAATGGAAAAGGAGGTCTAAAAGCTCACTGAAGAAAAAAAAGATTTCTTAAAAATCAGAATAGAGCAAATGGAAGCTAGTGACCCTATGAGAAATCAAGAAATTGTAAAACAAAAGCAAAAGAATGAAAAAATAGAAGACAATGTGAAATATCTCATTGGAAAAACAACTGCTCTGGAAAATAGATCCAGGAGAAATAACTTAAAATTATTGGATTACCCAAAAGCTATAATAAAAAAAATAGCACATCATCTTTCAAGAAATTATCAAGGGAAATTGCCCCAGTATTATGGAGCCAGAGGGTAAAATAGTCATTGAAAGAAACCACTGACCACCTCCTGAAAGAGAGCCAAAATAAAACTCTCAGGAATATTATAGCCAAATTCCAGAGTTCCCAGATCAAGGAGAAAATATTGCAAGCAGCCAGAAGGAAACAATTCAAGTATTGTGGAACCACAATCAGGATAGCACATGATTTAGCAGCTACTACTTTAAAGAATCAGAGGGCATGGAATATGATATTCTGGAGGTCAAAGGTGCTAAGATTAAAATCAAGAATCACCTACCCAGAAAAACTGAGTATAATCTATGGGAGGAAAAATGATATTCAATGAGACAGAGGAATTTTATGCATTCTTGAGAAAAGACCAGAGCTAAGTAGAACATTGACTTTCAAATATAAGACTCAAAAGAAGCAGGAAAAGATAAACAGGAAAGAGAAATTATAAGGGACTTATTAAAGTTAGACTATTCACATTCCTACATAGAAAGATGATATTTGTAACTCATAGGACCTTTCTCATTATTAGAGTAGCTAGAAAGAATTTATATATAGACAGAGGGCACAGGTGGAGTTGAATATGAAGGAATGATATCTAAAAATAAAATTAAGCAGTGAGAGAGGAATGTTTTAGGAGAAAGAGAAAAGGAGAGGGAAAATGAGATAAATTATCTCACATAAAAGAGGCAATAAAAAACTTTTGTAGTGGAGGGGGGACGTGAGAGGGAATGTGTGAACCTTACTCTCATCAGAATTGGCTTAAGAAGTAATAACATACACACTCAATTGGGTATAGAAATCTATTTTACCCTACAGGAAAGTAGGGGAAAACAGGAGTTATAGAAGGGCAGACAAATTGAGGGAGAGAATAATCAGAAGCAAACACTTTTGAGGAGGGACAGGGTGAAAGGAGAGAATAGAATAAATGGGGGAATGGGATGGGATGGAGGTAAATATAATTAGTCTTTACAACATAACTATTACGGAAGTGTTTTGCATATGTAACCTGTATCAAATTGCTTGCTTTCTTAATGAGTGGATTTGGGAGGGAGGAAGGGAGAGAATTTGGAACTCAAAGTTTTAAAAACAAATGTTAAAAATTGTTTTTTATGTGTAACTGGGGACAAAATAAAATACCAAATAAAAGCTCAAAAGAAATTCTCCTAATTCATATTCTATAAATTACTAAGCCACTGGATGAATATCTACCAGGATAATTAGGGCAATGTTGGGTCTTAACTGGTATTAGAATCTCATGCAATCCCTACCTTTCCACCCCATTTTGGATATTTTTAAAATCCCAAGCAAACTATCCAGGTCCTTTCTACATCAAGAACCTTTTACTACCATTCAACCCTGCCCATAGCTTTCATATCTTGGCTTAGTGGTTAGGCAACTTTGGGCCCTGAGTGTTTTACAGTTGTTGCTGTTTGTCCTTTGTCTTCAAGGAGGACATCATGATATCATTGGGTGATGTCTTGACTTACACTTGAATTGATCTACATGAGGCACAGTTGTGTAAAGTCATAAGCCTCACTCTCTCTTCTAGTGTCAGCAAAGTCAAGTAGCAAGACAAAAGTCAAGATGACTGGAAATGGCTTTGGATGAACTTGCTGTCTCTGATGTCTGACAAACCTCTAAACACTTCACCGTGCCTGCTTTAGATGCCCTTTATGGCCATTGGAACGAGTTGTTCTCATCTGCCTATTCCACCATGGGAATTCTTCACATGCTTGGGGTAGACATCTCCCTGACTCTCCCATGTGTTTGAGATCTGTTGGTTACTGTCAACCTGCCAAGATGGTTTTACCTCACTGAGGTGTGGCCACTGCACATGCTACAGCTTTGTAAAGCCACAGATGAGAGTTGGCTGGCAGGTGGACACCAAAGGTAGATGAGAAACCCTGAAAAATGTAAGCCTCCACACCAGAGGTTCTAAGCCTCCATGAACACATCATACAAACCCATACATATTTTATAGTATGGGCAATGAGTACCTCCCTTCCCCAATGCAATGTTCACCCAAAACATCACTGTTAGTAAAAATTGGAGATGGAACAAAGAAGGGTAGGAGAAAGGGAAGGGAATTAGTACACATTTTACCAGATATGGAATTAACACATATTCTACAGTACACCAAAAACACAGTGACCTGGCAAGTTGCAGTCTTGACATGTCCTTGGAGCAAGTCAATATCTTCATAAAATAAAGCTGAAAAAAATATTTCAGCCTCTATGTAAATCCAGATCAAAACCATATTGATCATCTGCTCAGTAGATTCAGAGAAGTACTTACAACTCTCAATCTCCAGGGTGCAGTTCTGTTCATCCAGAGGGTATCTGCGCAGGTCCATCATGCAAGCAGCTGTGGTTGTAATTCTAAGGAGGCAATGAAATGAACACCATTAGTATACCTCATTTCTAAATTAGTGTGATTAATGACCTTGAAGGGTGGGGGATAAGATCCTCTGGAAATTGACCTGATCATCCAGGAACCTGGACTCTAGTACTGGCTCTATCACTATCTATCTGTGTGAGTTGGAACAAGTCTTTTTTTTTTCTTTTCTGGGCTTCTTTTTTCTCTTCTGCAAAATGAGATGTTGGGCCCTGATGATCCCTAAGGTTATTGCCTGATGGAACAAACATTCCACAATTATTTTGATCCCTGAAGTTTTCCCCATGCTCTATTTCATACTTGAGAATCCCCAGTTATAATCTCTATATATTTTATATATAATCTATATGTTCTCTTCAATTTTTCTTCCTCTTTTTTACTTCTTCCCCAACTGCTATCTTCCTTCTCCAACTTCAATATCTGAATTGCTCAAGTTTTCCTCTGGTAAATCATTATTAATATTTCTGCAGTTAATTCTCATTGAAAATGTGCTTTAGTATAACTAGTGATGAATTTTCCATTCATACTCTTATTTGGTTTGTGTGACTAGCATTTTCTAAGTTAATATTCTTCCTCCAAGTAGAAAAAAAAACTCAAGGAAAAAAAACTAGATGATTACAGAACTAGGAGAACTTTTAACATGTTATCATGTTTAAATGAATATTTTTACTGAATTAAAATGTACTTTTCCCTCCATTTTTGCCAGCAGGTGGGAAAATTGTTCAAATATGTGGGGTCTCACTGAGAAATTTGTCTGTAAATCTATTTAAGCCTCACAGTAGTAACAGAAAGGTAATCCTAAATATTTTTTCATAAAAGGTTTTAGAATCATGTAAGTACATTTATACCTTCAAAAAGACCTTCAAATTCCCTATCAACATTATATTTACCTAAGGCTGTCTAGAGATAGATATCCCAAAGTCTTTCCAAGATCACTCTGGTCTTTAATGTTCTTTCTCTTTTAAATTACTTTGCATTTACTTATCTGTGTACATTTTATATGCCTTCAGTAAAAGTAAGCTTCTTAAGGGCAGGGACTGTTTTTGTCTTGGTGTCTCCAGAGCCTAGCACAAACTCTTACATGAATCAGGCACTTAATATTTGTCTAATTTAATTCATTGAGTGACTAATTGACTGCTAAATCAGACTAATTATATTAAAACCAGGGTTAGTTTCTGAGTGGAGAACCTAAGGCAGTAGTTTTTTTGTATCTGGAGTATATTTGATTGAATTTTATACCTTTCTAATCATCCTTCTACTGGTACCAAAACAGTACTTTAGTCATGAAGTTCTGTACTAAGCAGAGTAAGAAGTTAAAAGAAAAAGAAGTAGTACTTTATTAGTCTTCAAGTACCATCAGAAAACTAAATAACTAAGAGTGTTGGGAGTTGATCAGTTAAATATATAAAGAAATATAAACAGATACACATTTAAAGGGAATATGTGTAGCAGGGCTGAAAGCATTGTGAAGGCTGAAACCATTTTGATAGAGCTTACTAAGGTTTGCTCTGCTGATTAAAACAGATGACAAACAAACAAAAAAAATTGCCTTTATGGAGATGAATGGCTACAAACTCACTCACTGTTGAGTCCTAGGAACAAGAACGTTAATACTATCTGGGGAAAATGCTTCCTATTTGAATTCCAATGTAATGTAAAATAAGTATTGATGTTTTTCTCTTGATGATATTGTTCTTACCTATCCCTGCACTCACCTAGACAGAAATGTTGTTCAAAATGCTACCTTACAGCACATAAGCAAACCAGTAATAGCTGCTATCAGCTAAGTACAGATTCAGTGTTTGGAAAGTTAATATATAAGCTAGGTGCTATTTAGTGCAAATAGCAAATCCCATAAAGTGGTCACACTATATAAATTCATGTTACATATTTTCATTGGGCTGGAACCAATTAACATATTTTACATCGTTATAACTTTAAATAATTTCACTACTTCATGAGTTCTTTATTCACAGTAGTTCTGACCTAACTGTACTTCATTTCTTCAGAAGCCATTTATCCGTCAATCTCAGCTATCTAGATAATGACATCCTTTAGAAATCATAAATTCCACAGGAGCAAAGTTTATATTGACAATATGATGCTTTGCACATAGTACACACTTCATAAGTTTTGTCAGTTGGAGTGAAATAAGCAAAAAAAGAGTGACTGAGCAGCCAAAGGAGATGTGTGTATTCGTGTTCATGTCACTCATGTTCATGTTCATACTGTACTTTGTCATTAATGAAACATTTTCCTCACAAGAACCTTGTAAAGTCCATAGGAATGGTGGTGTGAGCAGTGTTGAGCAAAACACTGAATTTGGGATATGGAGACCTAAGTTTAAAACCTGCCTCTCCTACTAAATACTTGTGTGAATGTGAGCAAATCATCTTTCCTCTATTTCCTCATCTATAAAATTAGAAGGGTAAGGTAAAGAGGAAAGTTGGATTGGATGGCTTCTCTAGTCTCTTCCAGCTCCAAAATCCTATGATTCTGTGATTTCAGTTTTATAGATGAAAAAATTGAACTTCAGACAACTCAGATATTATACTAAGGTTACTTGGTCCATATAGTAGTTCTTCTGACTCTAAGTCAAATGTCTTTTAGACCAATGGTAGCAAACAATGGTGTTAAAGGAGGGGCCGCTAATCCATATATAAGTATGTCTGTGTGTATATGGACTTAGTTTTAAAATGTAATGTAAACTATGTTTCACTGTATAGATTTTTATTTTATTACATATTTCCCAATTACATTTTAATCTGATTTGGCCTGCACACTAGAGTATTGCTGGTCCCCTGCAGCCTGTGGGCTGCTTGTCCATCAACGAAAACTCAAACACTTAAAGTATAAGTGCCGCTTAGAGATCATTTACTCTGATTTTAGGTATACTTCTAACAACCTTAGCTAACTGGTTTTCTGGCTCACACAGAATCATAAACAGCCAATTAGAAGGCTACGGTTGGAGGCATGTACCAGGAAGTAACAGCTGATGGCAAGTATAGAGATAGAAAAACTTTTTAAAAATTCAAATGAATTAAAAATTAAGAAACTAGACTTAGTATTCAATAGTCAGCCCTTATCTTCTGGTATCCACACAGCATGAAGAGAACTAAAAGGTTTCCAGATGGCAGGTGACTCCATGTGGAGGATTTATAGGGGGGGCATGGGAAATAGTTGTGGAGGAGATGGGTTGAGATGTTATCCATATTGATTATATGACAGATCTATCAAGTATCCAAGTAACTACTATAAATATTTTGTGGCACCAGATTTCCTATAACTGGACAAAAATCTTACGTGTATGTTAACCAGTGAACTCTATTATATGAACTAAGTTATATTTGTTTCAAGTGTATACATTCAAAATAAAATATATAAGTACTGACCACAAATCCTTCTAACCTTAAGATTACTCTTACACTGATAAATTATTTTCTTCTTTGTATTTCTGGTAACTCATGGATCAACATTCACCTTTTAATTAAAACATAAATGGAAAAGTCAAACCCATCATTATCAAGAAAGCTTATTTTGAGTATAGTTCTTCTCTAATTTTCAGAAAAGCTGAGAGATAAGATACTCAAGCCTCTATTTCTTGTTTGCCTTTTGATTTAGAACACAGTAAGATTTCTACAGGGAAAAACCAATAAAAACAAATAACACTTAATGGAATTTTCATGCCTATTCCTAGATCTTAAAAAGGTTAATATGGCGGAAAAAACACAACACCTTAATCTTTCTTAAATCACTCAATATCTGCTAGGACATTATAAAATCAGAGTAGTAATCATTTAATGTGTCCCAATTAACTTTTAGGGTCATTACAAAATATATTATCACTTACTTAACTCCAAATGAAGCCCTCACAGATTCTTGTGGAGAGAATCCTTTTGATGAAGAGGAGACAACAAATGGAGCTTAGGTTTGTGAGAAGCTGAGAAGTGCACAGTGTGATCTTTGGAATTCAGTTGTAGAATTTATGACTGTAGGGGTTAACATTTTGCCTTTCTTGCACATATGGATAATTCATCTTCATGGTAGAATGAGGAATTAACAATAACAAAGCTGGGTTTGGAGTCAGAGGGCTAGACACTATGTCTAATTCATCCACTTACTACCTATGCAGCCCTAGGCAATCAGTCAATCAAGCAGTCTTTAATAAGTTATGAGGTGCTAAGTGCTGGAGATATGAACGAAAGGGGAAAATAGTCTTTGTTGTCACTTAATCTCTCTGGTTTCAGTTTCTTAAGCCTTAAAATAAGAAGGTTGGACTAGATGAACTATGACATCTCTAGTTCTAAATCAATGAAATGAAAGGTCTCAATTTGCTACTCTATATAGCCTTTTAAGTACAACTGATCACAAAACATAGACACTAAAATTTTAACACTAAGTATATAAATTAGAAGTACTCAATCTTTGAAATAGACACAGATTTCCATCTTCCATCAGCCAATGACATTTTCCCTTCTGAGTAACTTAGAGAAATAGTTTCACATCACAGAAAGATGAATTATTTTGTGATTACATTCTAGGCTTTCTGAGCTACAGGCTTAATCAAAGATCTTATATTCATATGGGATGGCTTCTACTCCTCTCACCTCCTATGAATTCTGCAATGTGCCTCTTAAAGGGTGATGTCTGGCAATGAAATGAGGGAAGGGACTTTATCTCCCTTGATTTAGACATCATATCAATTAATGCAGCCAAAATAATATATCATTGGCACTAAAGGAGTCCCTAAAATCAGGGATCAATAGCTATATTTGTATTTATATCAAGAATTTTTACCCATACAATAACAGATTCTTTTTAGGACCATAACAGCAGTTAGATTTAACAGTTACACTGTCCTTTCAGGTTTGGATGTGACCAATAACCATTACTGAGAAGTAGTATCTAGTTGCATTTACCCCTTGGCATAACATAACTCACAATCAAGGAGGTTCATGGGTCAGTCAACACGAATTGCCTGAAG